TAAACTGCTGGTGGCTGAGCATCCTGGTACAGTGGCTCTCTAGCTGTTGCAATTGAAATATGCATTTCTGCTAAACAAAAAAGCACTTTTGGTACAAGCTGTTAAGTCTACCACCTACCAAGAGCCCTACGGGGAGGTGCACTTGTGCCATGCTACAACACTCAATGAAATCTGTATTTCCACTATCTGTTCTTACATACATGGTCTGAAATCATGCTCAGAACAACGTACTTTACTACACATGAAGGCAAGTCTAAAATCTGTGCTAGATTTGCCTAAAACATATAGTTTGCAGCAGTTCATAATTATTACATCTTCAAGCCTGCCCAACATTCTCTGCTAACACAGAGTGACTTGCCAGCACAGCTAAACAATGTGTATTCAAGGAATAACTACCCCTACTACCTACATAGTTGATGAAGACCTTTATTAGGGATTTAAGAGTGTAAGGGAACCCAAACCCCCACAAATAACACTTAAGCAGCTTTCAAAACTATAGCAATGCATGCATCTGGAAAACTGAAGCACAGACAGCAAGCCGTGAAGCATGGTTGGAAGCTTTAAGGCAGACAAAGCAACACTCTCCTCAAATGCTAAGGGTCTCACAATGCATTATGTGATGTATGTGTCTGCAAGGGCCAGGCAGCTACAACAGAGACCTTCACATGCCTCTGAGACACATGCCCTAAGTCTTTTAGCTGCTTGGCATGGTCTGCAAAGGGTAGCAAAGCACTCCGATGTGGAAGGCCACATAACCTTTTTACTTCATGTCACAAACGACTGAGTTTTGTCTTTATTATTTGTTCTTTTGGGTTCATTTTCTTCTTAAAGATCACTGGATGTAAATACATTTAGATGGAAACCAGCAACTGTTCAGAGACTTGATCAGGACAGAAATGGAAGGCTGTGTGTTGATATGTAGAGCTTGTTTTGCCCAGCAAGCACTTTCAGGAATTCCTGGAAGCACAGCAGACAGGCTCACTGTTTAGGCTAGTGCACCAGCACAGACTGGGACTTGGGAAGATCTATTAAATAGGCTGTCATATGCATAAAGATCAACATAATAACGGGCCACCAGTATAGAGCCACACTAACTTCCGTTTCTTCAAGTCTCCTCACCAACTTTATTTTCCTATGAGTTCAAATGCTTCAGCAGTGTGCCTGGGCAGGGTGTTGTCTAAAGTGTGAGTGGATATTTCAGACGAGCAGCTCTGTCATCTTTCTTCATGGTGCCAGGTAGGAGGGCCCAGGACTCAAACAGCATGGTACCCACACACATCAGCTCAAAACACCATTCCCTCTACTCTGATGCTTTCACTACCAGACAAGGTGCTGCTGAAGGGTGTTCCACTGGTAGACTGCCTCCAAAGTCTACCTTAGGACCGATGAAGCTTACAGATGACGCAGTGTAGTGGGGTGTCAAGAGAAGGATGTGTGGAACAAATAGCAGCTTTCATGGATCACACCTTCCAGTGTCGTTCAGTGTTTCTAACGGCTTCTGCACCCACAGCCAGTTCTGCCGTTTCCTAGGTCACTGCAAGACTTTACTCTCTGTTTTGAAGATCTCTTCAGCTAGCTTCCTGGACAGAGGGGGCCTGTTCTTTGCCATCTCTTTGGTCAAAGAGAGGCCCTCCATCTTGGCCTCTCTGCTTTTTAGCTTTGAGCAATCCCCTCCATGTTTGCACTACATAGATGTGTTTTTCAGAGGTTTTCACAAAGTCAAAAATTTCCATTTCTGTTCTTTCCACTTTGCGAAGCATTGAGCAGTTAACAGTAGGAGCCATGTGGGGTCTAGAAACCTCAGATTTCCTATAGGGCAAAGAAAGTAACAACCAGTTATTGTTTTATTCTTATGACAGCAGAAGGAAATATATCTCACAAGTTTGAGATGGCATCTCTAAAGTCCCTTCCCAAGCTCTGGGCAGAGGTGGCTCTTCCCACCTTTCCTCTGATCATATTTGGGATTAACATATGCTAGAGAGAGGTACCGGCTACAGCTGTCTGAGCTTATTCCAGGGGACAAGTTGGACCATGCATTTTCAATAAACTAGTGAGATTGAGCTCAGGGTACATCAGCACTACTGCAGGAAATCCTTACAAAAGAAGCATCCCATATCCATGAGGTGGGAAAACAATAAAGATTAAGGGCAAACGAAATACTATGTGATCTGTAGTGCTGCTCTTTACTGGACTGATGCTTTCCATGGCTGGAAGGCAATCACTAGCCATTGGGAAGTCAGGGAAAAGACACCTTCTGTAATATATTTTGCTTTCTGTTTCTGTGGACATATATAGTTCAAGTGCTAATAACATTCTGTTGTCAATGTAGATCTAATATAACTATCAGCTCTTCACTAATAGCCTTGTGTGATATGGTTTTATCCTGAAAGATTATTACTGCTGCAGTGTGTTAGTACTGGAGGGAAAATAAACACCCACTAAGATCAACACGATAATGAATTTGTGCTGATGAATCGAAGTGTTTGCTTGACCAGCTGACAAGATGCACTTGATAACTGAATCCCAAGGTGCTCCTCTAAAAAAAAGCCCACCCTACAGTGAACACCCTGGGGGAGAACAATGAGAAATGTATGCAACACAGCTAGGGGGTGGGTCAGACAGGACAGAGGTAGCAACTAGCAAACAGATTGCAGTGGGAATCACCAGTTTAAGCAGGAATTGAAGGGCAGCAATTCAACTGGGAAGACAGGAAAGATGGGGGATCAGGAGGGAGGGGCACATTAGCTTCTGCATTCTCACCATATGGGACTGCCGTTTTGAGCACATAGCAGGAGACTAACATGGAGAGATGGGACAGAGCTCACACTCTTAGCTCTCATCCAAGAGAGGGGTGAATGAAAGGTCTAGGGAAAAGACAGCAGCTGTACATTGCTATATGGAAAAGTAACTTTAATAAAGGTCAAAAACATGCTTACCTATCGTTTTCATAGTGCCTGAAGATTTCTAGGAATGGCAGACAGGCTGACAACACAAATGGAGACTGTGGGAGAAACACATTCCTCTCTCTTCGTCAAGAGTTTTGGTCAGGTTCCTGGCTGTCAAGAATCAGTGACACAGCCCTCGGCGTCCTCCTGTGCCCTCTTCCACATCAGCCACATCCAAGACAAAGCACAGATCAATATTGGCATCCTGTATCAAAATCTTGTCCAGCTCATTAAGGCATAAACAGGTGGCTCAATAGATACTGCAGCCTTGATTTCTGTTCTTGACTATCTTTTAAGACATTTTCATAACACTTGTTTTAATACAGCACCACATCATAAAATATCCGGTCATCCCCTCAAACAAAAGCTTTTGCACACCCACACATCACAATTTCTCTTTCTCCATTTTTCCACAAGGGCAAGAAAATCCAGGACTTTGGAACAACTCCAGATGGAAGCATGAAGAGGAAGGATGTCAGAAAACCGGAAGAATACACCAGCTACGCTGACTTCTGGATCACATAGTTACAAGCGGACCAAACCAAGTTTTCAAGACACTCTGGAGTGGGAGATGGCACCACAATACATCAAACCCTTGGCAGCAGCAGGTAACAGTTAAAGAAACCAGCCAACTGGGGGGGGGAATTAGAAGATAAGGTGGAAGATGTAGTCTGTGGCAAGCTCTGGCATACATGTATTACAACAATGCAAGATGAAAACGAGCACAGATTCTGACAGAAGTAAGACCACCACACAGTTTCACCGTTCAGTTCATGGGAGAAACTGCTCAAGAACAATTATTTTTGTGCCGGTATGCAAGAGCGAGGCAGCCTTGTCTCTGAGCCCTCATACTCAACGAGTTACAAACTCTGACCTGCTTCTAAGATTGTAAAGAAAGCCCCAGGAACTAGTACGACTGGCCGCAGAGATAACTACAGAGAACCAGCGCAGAGGAAAAACGTTAGACGCTAAAGCAGCCGTCAGCTTCAACCCCTGCGCTCGCTAAGAAGACGCAACACCCGCCGTAGGCACCTCCCCAGCGAGAAGGAAGGAGCCGGGCGGACAAGCCTGCTAGCTCCCTCCTTTCCCGGCCAGGGCACGGCTCGCTCTCAGCCCTAACCCAAGTTTACAGCACTTCTACCGGCCGCCTCCACACGGCTCGGCGGGCTCTGCCGCCCGGCCGGGTAATGTTGAGACCGAGGGGACCATGGGGCGATATCGCACCTCCTGCAAGGGTCCCTACCCCTCGTTCTCCTGAGGTGAAGGGCAGCGAGGAGGGGCTGGCCTCGGCTGTCGGGCCGCCCCGGGGGGCAGGCCCACAGGAAAGGTGGGCGCCAGGACGAGGGCAGCGAGGGGCCCGGCGGGGTGATGGCGGTCGCCGGGCCTACCTTACTGGTGAGGTCGATCTCGGGTTCGCCGTTGAGCGCCTCACCGTCCTCGGCGTCGAAGGCGGCTCGGAGGGGACAGGCGGCCGCTGCTACGAGAGGCCCCCCGCCCGGGGAGCCGGGCTCCGGGGCGAACATACAGGCCGGCACCGGGGAGCCCCCCACGGGGGATCGGCTCCGCTCCGCCGCCGCCATCTTCCCTATCCCGGCCCTCCTGCCCCGCCTCTCCGCCCTGGGAGGTGCGCCCGCCCCGCCCCAGGCCCGCCGAGGCGGTGCCAGCCAATCAGCGGAGGAGGAACTGGCTCATTAGCCTGTAGCCATGACGACTGTGAGCGGTGGCAATGGTTATTCATGAGGAGGGCCACGCCCCTACGAAGCGCGCGAAGCCAATGAGGGAGCCACTGCCAGCTCGGCTTGTTTTCTATATATACACACACAACAGAGCCCGCTCGACGTGTCCGGGCTGTCCTAGCCAATGGGAGAGCTGGCCCGTGTGACAAAGAAAACTAAGGGCCAATCAGACAAGAAAACACGAGCAACTGGGTGGGACTAAGAAAGATGGGGAAAGGCCCGCCCTGGTGGGTGGGCTTTCTCTGACGAGAAACCAATGAAAAAGAAGGAAGTTTTGACAGACAGCTGTGCCAGCCAATGGAGAGGGGAGGGTGCTCGCCGGGAATCCCCACAAGCAGCGAGCGCTCGGCTGAGGTGACGGGTGTCGCCGAGCGGCGGGGGCTTTGGCCGGTTGTGGGGGGCGGTAAAGGCCCCCTACTAGCCCCAGGCTCCTCGTTTAGGCCGTGAGGAGACAACTGGGGAGAAGGCCCACCGATGAGGGGCTTTGCGGGCAGGCTGGCGGGGAAGCGGGGTGTCTTGCCCTTCCACCGGGCCACCCGCCCGCTCCCCCGCCGCGGGCTCCAGTTCGGCAGGAAGGATTGATGTTTATTCACCAGGCGGTAAAACCGCTCCAGCCGCCTCGGCTTCTTTATCGCCGCGTGAGTCTCTGTGCTATCATTAACCCCGCGGCCGAGAGGGGAAGCGGAGCTCAGGAGGGAAATTAACCCGCCTGAGGTTAAAGCAGCCCCGGAGCCGGGAACGAGCTGCGCGACGGGGCATTCCCCGCCCGGGCAGCGAACCCTGCCGCTCTCTGCGGCTCCCGGACGACCCGAGGAGCAGACACCGGTTCTCTGTTCCTCAGGAAAGCCAGGCCCACCCCGCTCCTCTCCCCTCGGGCCGCCCGTTAACGTCAGGGGGCGGGGGAAGGGGGTCACGGGGGGTGTGTGTAAGAGCGGAGCGAGCGGCTGCCCGCACGCATGCGTTAACGGCTGGCGGTGTGGGGCCGCCGGGGGCTGAGGAGCGGGTAAGGTGGCGGGTTGTGGGCCACGGCGGCTGCCCTCGGGTGCTTCCTGAGGGGAAGGGCAGGAGGCTTGGTTCGCCAGCGAGCCCTGAGGGGCAGGAAGGCATCTGAGGCTGTGGAGGGGGTAGGAAGGGAGCGTTAGGCGGGGGCTGTGGGGCTGGGCCTGGGCTGTGGGGAGCGGCTGCCGCCCGCGGGGGTGGGGTGGTGGTTGTTTTGGTTGTGGTGGTTGTGGTGATTGCTGTGGTGTGGTGGTGATGGTTGTGGTGGTGTGAGTGCGGGGTGGGAAGGTGCGAGGCAGGCCTCGGGGCTGGTTCTGCCTGCTACCTGCCTTCCCCTCGCTCCCCACGGGCTTTGTTCTGTCTTTTCGCATTGCTAACGGAGACCTCCCTTTGTCAGAGTGTAGGGTGACTTGTGAGGAATTGCCTTCCCCGGAGCCTGGACCTAGGTGGTGGTGGTTTGTTTTGTGGCCTAGCAAGAAACGGTTTCCTTTCCCGAGCTGTTGGCATCTTCTTGCCTGGATTTAGCCGTAGAGGAATGCAGCTGATAAGTCCTTAACCACCCTGTGCTCCCATAGGCAGCACCAGAAGCTGGCTTCATCTTCTCCACTTTGCCACTTTGGGGGTGGGCCTCTCTTTGTTACCTATTCTGGGTACCTTTTTAGTGGCACTGTAGATTAAAGGAGATGGAAGAAAAGGAGCGATGTGATAAATTCCATCTGGTACCTTGAGACTAAGGAGATTAATATCTTTTGACTTCTTTGTCAGTGGGGGGGAGGGGAAGTATTACATTTTATGGGGTATGGGTGAAGGGAGGAAAACTATGTTGTAGATCTCAACGTGGTTTTTAAAACCAGCCGTCAGAGGCAATTACTAAATAAACTGAAGCACAAGAGGAGGGTTTGGGAGCTGGAAGCAGTGCTAGCCTACAAAAGAAAGGGGCAGTGGGCTGCTGTTGTGACTGTGGAGGAAGAAACTTCAGCCTCCTTCGTTTCTCATCACCTGCTCTCCACCCACCCTGTGAGAAAATGAGTTGTGTGCCATGGAAAGGTGACAAGACCAAATCGGAATCACCAGAGCCACCTCAGCCACCACCACTGCATATTTACCATGAGAAGCAGCGTAAGGAGCTGTGTGCCCTCCATGCTCTCAACAATGTCTTCCAGGACAGCAACGCCTTCACTAGGGAAACCCTGCAGGAGATTTTTCAGAGGTAGGATACTCTCTGTACTGGTTTTAGCTTCCCCTTGTCCTCTGTTGCTCAGAGGAATTTTGAGGTCTTATTTGGTGGGGAAATACAGCAAAGCTGGGATTCAAAGTATGTTACTGCCTTGAACTGAATGTAGGTTCTTTTTTTAAACACTTCCCCCTCTTTTATTTTTTTCCTCCCTCTCTCCATGCAGAAATTCTCTCTCTTTTTACTTGATCCTTAAACTCTTCTGGCTGCCAAATTTGGGTCCAAGGGCTTTATTGCAGATGCTGTCATGCATCTTGTGCTGTCTTCTCCCCCACCCACCTTAACACATTCTACCCATCTTCGTATTTTTGCCCCTGCCTCATGTAATATGTTATCATGATCTTAAGATCAGATTTGGGGTTCCCTTGGGAGAGTGAAGGCAGCAGGATTGACAAATATGTCGTCATAAATTTTATTTTGATCTGATACTGTAGCACTTCTGAGTTTTGGGGGAAGTAGGAGCTTTGCCTAATGAGTGACACCTTATTCAAGTGGTTAAGTGAAGTTCTTTGAATATTATGATTGAGACCCTGCATATTCTGTCAACCTGGATTTAATTTCAGTAGCTAGATCCAATTTTCTGTGGCATTGCTAAATGTTTCCCAGCAGCTTAAGATAATTATTAAAAGCATTTTTGGAGTTTTACTGGGATAAATTAAGTTGTTCATATGGCCTCTACAGTAGCTCATACTTTGCTCAGTGTTTTTTTTATGCTGTTTTGATGTTTTGTGGAAATTCTCCTCTGTGTGCCTTTGGAAACTGTGGTGACTTTTCGTTCATGAAGTAACTAAATAGGAAAAGGGGGTCTTCTTTGATAGTCGATCCACAGATGTTGTGAACGTCATGTAAGTTATGCTTGAATATCTGTTACCAGCAGTTGACAGCATCGTGTGTTTGTGACAGGTAGGAAATGGTGCTTTGTAGCAGCATTTGCACAGGTACTCCTAGAGGAGGCAGTGGCAGTCCCCTGTGCTGCTGATGGGCAGGGAGCTATGTGCCTCTTGCTGCTCTCCTGAAAACCGCATGTATGGACTCATCAAACGCATGCCTGTCTTTGGCAATAGAAATGTGGTGATAGGCAACAGCAAATATCGGCTTGAAGGGCTGTTTGTGATAGCCTTATAAATAAACTTCTTGGTGAATTGGAGCTGGTTCATGGCAGGCTCAAGGCATTCTTTCTCTCATGTAAGCATGCTGTGGTTTTGTTCCAGAGTGGTAATTGTCGGAATCTCGGATCACAGATGGATTGCTATCGGCCTGAAGCAAACAAGCGCAGTTCATGTGGTAGAAGGAGCATGATGATCTAATTAGTTGGCTTTCACTGGGTTTGGTGAGACAGATCTAGTGTGTGGCATGAGGCCTCTCAGAAAGAGCTGGGGTGATTTATCTTGTCAGACCTTTTGCTGTGGAAGGGAGAGTTTGTCTCCGATTCCAACCTGGTATTGTTCCATCCTAATACTTGGATCAGGATAAACAGATTGATTCAGCCTCGTGGTAGTATGGAAATATACATGGCAATTCCTCTCAGAAATGGAAGAGCTATAAACTATTCATGAGAACCGCCACTACCTTTGCATCTCTGTTGCGTAACTCTGTTGGGTGTCTAGCTTTGACTTGCCTTTAAGAAGAGTGGATTCCGTTGCCCTTAATACATCACTGTTCCATATGTCTTTCCTGTGTCTAGTCATATTCAGTGTGTTGAGAAAGGACTAATGAATATTTTTTAATAAGCTACAGAAACATTGTGAGGTGTGTTTTTTTTGTTGTTTTTTTTTTTAAAACCCAGCGTTGACAAGGTAACAAAATCACAAATAAGCTTAAGCTTTCTGTAGCTGTTGCCACATCCCTTGAACAGCAATTGAGCCACATTCATTAATTGTTAGTTTCCCTAATGCTGCATCCCGTTGTGTAGAGACAGGGTAGCCTGATGGTTGCCCTCTCAAGTGTACCCCAAAACTATGTCCAAGGTCCCTTCTGATTGTCTTCTTTCCCTGAAGACAAGAAATATCTTTTTGATGCTTTTCTGGCTTTTGTTGTAGGAAGTAAGACTGCATGTTCCAAATACTGTGTGGAGATACAAACACTTTCACTTCACTGTATTGAGACCTGATTAGGAAAGACAACTGTGGACAGGAATCTTGGATCCTGTTGTGTTTAGACAACACACTGATGACAGTTTCTGACTTGGAAAGCTCAGGATTATTACCTAGCTTTCTGTCCAACTTTACTTGTTTTCCTTGTCTTATGTTATCTTTGGGGAGGCAATTTAATTCCTTGTCTAACCAAAATCCCTCAGCTGGTGTTTGTGGACCCGATTTAGGTGTATGCGAGTAGAAACGTTGAGGCAATTCTTAGTGAATGTTAGCTCACAAGTACCAGTTTTTGAGAGTGTCACCTCTGCTGGTCTCTTCATCTCATTTCTGGGGCTCTGAAAGTTACAGGAAGGAACAAAGATAAATGTATTCTTTCTGCTCTCAAATAAGCTTGTCTCTGGAAAGCAGGGCCATGAGAAGGTGCTTGTGCAACCCGGAGGGGTCTGTTGATTGGAAGGTTTTCCTAGCTCACTGCAGGCAGGAGAATTAATAGGTTGAAGCGATGATCTTGAGGAATTTGTTGTAGCCAAGTGATCTTGCCTTATGGAGATGCTGGAAGAGCTGTGACAACAACAGTCATGTCTCTTCCATGATTGGTAAAGTACAGTAGAGCTTTGGAGACTGGAAACCACCATTCTCTGGAAATGTTGTAGCTTTTCCAATCATGATGTTGTTTCTCCCTTCTGTAGTTAACTCACTTTTAGGCTGTTCTGCTGTACTCTGCTCCACTGCAAGAAAACTCACAGCTGATGTAAAAACCTACCTGTCTGTAGCCTCTCTAATCTTGGTTGATCTTAAACCCCCTACTCAATCCACTGCTTGCTGCTTCTTTCCAAAGGCCTTATATTGTCAGGGGAGTAATGCTGAAGGGTTTTCACTGGATGAAATACACCTGAAGAACTTGCACTGTGCTAAAGGGCGAGCAAAAACTGTGTGGGGACATCAGGAGTTTTGGGGGACAGAGTTAACATGAGTAGCAGGCAAAATGTGGCTATTAGGAAAATATGAAACATCTGAACCTTGTGCTGGCAGAACTGATGGAGTCCTTACCAGTCAAAAGAGCAGTTCACCACAACAGAGCTTTGCATTGGGTTTGAGTGACCTTGCTGTTCTCTGCTCCTAGTTTCCCCGTGTGCTTTGCTCTTCCAGCTGTTGAAGCTAATCTCTCACCTGGGTAATAAGTCACCTTCTTCTTGTTTCCCCAAACCAATAGAAGTCACTAACTGTTGGTTTGTTGTTTGGGGTTCTTTTTGCCATGTGTCTCCATGTTTTGTCTTGCATCCATTATATGGATTTGTGTAAAGGATGTTCTAATTTTGCATGTGATGTGGTGGACTATGAGTCTGGATTTCTAGATGCTGTAGTAACGCAAATGATGTCTAGGCAAGCTTACGGATTAAAACTGAAGAGATTTATATGTAAACAGGGCTATCTGCTTAGTTACCTACAGCAACAGATCTATTTTTTTATCATATAGCAACGGCAATGCTTTAGAAAGCTCCTAAACCCAAATATCTTCACAGCTTTGTGTCTAAGTGCTTCTTTCATTTACCAGTGGGGTGGTGGGGGAGAACAGCCCCTTTTCTGCAGCCAACCCACCCTGCCTTTTGTCCTCTCATTCAGTCTTCAAGACTGGTGTTGGCTGTTGAACTCATGAAACTGTAGTAGCCATTGTCCTACACTGCAAACTGGCATTTACTCTGACCATGAATTGAGGTAAAAATGATTGAAGCATCCTTCAGAAGTACCAGCTCAAGGGAGTGGGGGAGGGAAAGAGGTCTCTTTCACATCTTTGTGAAGCTTAGTACATCAAAATTATTCTTAATACACTGTTTAGCCCTCTCAGCCCCTTCGTTGAATGATAAGGGTGAATGGAATAATTTGGTTTTAAACAACCCCCCTGAAAATGGGCTTCAGGTTACACAGCAAGGAGCCCCTTCCGACTGTGGAATGCAGGTTTGGCGAGCAGCCTCCTGTTGTGTTTGCAGGCTGTCTCCCAACACCATGGTGACGCCCCACAAGAAGAGCATGCTGGGGAACGGAAACTATGATGTGAACGTGATCATGGCAGCACTTCAGACCAAAGGCTACGAGGCAGTTTGGTGGGACAAGCGCAGGTACCGAGATGTCATGTAACTCTGGGAAGTGGCTGCCATTTGTAGAAACGAGGAAGAGACTAAGTTAAAGTACCAGAATACAGTCTTAGCACTGTTTTCTGCACTCTTTCAGGGATGTGAATGTCATTGCCCTGTCTAATGTGATGGGCTTCATCATGAACCTGCCCTCCAGTCTTTGCTGGGGCCCCTTGAAGCTCCCCCTTAAGCGACAGCACTGGATCTGCGTCCGTGAGGTGGGAGGCACCTACTACAACCTCGACTCCAAACTCAAGGTGCCCGAGTGGATTGGAGGTGAAAGTGAGCTCAGGTAGGCATTTTTGTATCCTGTTCCTCAAAACCTCCCCTTGTTGGAGGTGGGCAGTCTGCCTTTAAACAGCTGGCAACTGAAACATTTATAGTTGACCTTCCATAGCAAAGATTTGAGAGCAGTAAGGTTGTTGTGCCTCTGCTCAGACTGATAACCCCATTTGCATGATATTCCTCTTTACTGTGAGCGTGGTGAGGCACTGGAACAGGCTGCGCAAAGAAGTGGTAAATGGTCCATCCCTGGCAGTGTTCAAGGCCAGACTGGACAGAGTCTTGGGCAACATGGCCAGTGTGAGGTGTTCCTGCCTGTGGCAGGAGGTTGGAACTAGGTGACCTTAAGTCCTTTCCAACCCTAATCATTCTTTGAAGCTAAGAAAATGCTTTGGGCAAGGGCGATCTCTGTGTGCTGGGGAGAGCCCGACTTCATGTCTCGCATGACTGGCTCCATCACCTGTAACGAAGGTAGAAGCCAAGTCTGGTATTAGTGGGTGACACTTGTGACAAAATGTACTGTGCTTGGCTCTCTCCTCAAATATGAGAGTATCATCATCCCTTTGCCTCCTTAGTGCCAACCTATGCATATGTTTCCAATAAAAGGCTTTCCAGACTCAAAGTGCAGCCTTGTCCCTGACAGCAAGGGAAAACTGCTGTTAGGTGTCATTTCCCTATATAAGCCTATGCTGCACTTCTGGCTTGACTCCCCTCTCCAATCCTAACACAAGATGGTTGGCGTGAATGGTTTGACTGTAAAGTCTCACCTGCTCTTAGTTGCTGTACAACTTCCATTCCTTCCTGTTCTAAAGCCTACTAACAGATTTGCTGTCTTGACAAGACTGTTCTGAGGTAGGGATTGCACATGAGCAGTATTTGCAGAGCCCACCTTGCCATTAAAGCCTTGATAAAGTGAAGCTTGGCCTATTGTGAACTTTTGGGGTTAAGTAACACAGTTCTGAAACTACAGGGCAGAGCTGCTGGTGGATTTTATTCTGGGTGCGTTCTTCTTCAGCAATAAATAAGGCCTTTCTCCTTGGAGAATGCTGGAAACATGGGCTAAAAGATGCCAGAGAGAACCTTGATTTGACTTTCATAGTTACTGGAGATAATCCAAGTTAGGCATTAGAAAAAGTTTTGGGGCAGAAAGGGGCTGCAGATCCATGTGAAATGAGCAGGTGGTGTGCTGCTGTTGTGACTTAGGACATCAAAGTGATTGGGTTTTTGGGGGGGGTTTCTGTTCCTCACCAGTATTGCAGATTTGTTGGAATTATTTGCAAGTACAATGGGTTTCTTAATCTTGGAGACTGAAGAAACTGAACTTTTTTTTTTGCCACCTTAGAAAATTGGGAAGTGACATCTATATAGACTTAACCTCTGCTGAAGTTAAGATCTGTCTGATCCTGTGATAATTTTCTGGATAGCACCTAGTTGGGCAAGTTTAATATTTATCTTTAATAAGAAAATAACTAAACTGTGTGGGGCTTTATTTGTGCAGTTATTTGCAGGGAGTTGTTAAGAGAAGGCGATGAATTCTACATTCAGTGGTGCTTGTTTCTATTTCTGTTGATAACAGGAAATTTTTGAAACACCAGCTGAGAGGCAAGAACTGTGAACTCCTGCTGGTGGTGCCAGAGGAGGTGGAAGCACATCAGACCTGGAGAGCTGATGTGTGATCCGGACTGACTCTGTCCTCCCACTACAGCTCCTCCCCTCGCTGAATTGACATCCTCAAAACCTGGATCATGGGTGCCCCAAGTCCTCTCATCTGGAATTTTCTTTGTTAAGATCTTCTCTTCCTTGGTGCAATAGGGCAATGGCGCTGGACACTGGGGGCGCTGGGTGCGGGAGAACTGAGGGCAGAGTGGAGGAAACTGGAAGTCAATCTCTTCAATCGCAAAGGCGAGTGAGCTGCTATAGCAGGCACTGCGCTTGCTCCTGAAAACGGCTTCAGGGCTCTGGGAGCCTTTGGACACCCTTTCCCCACACACTTTGAGGCCATGTGTGGTGGGACTTGCTGGGGAGGAGCAGGGACTGAGCACACCGCCACCTCTTCGCAAGCCTCTTCCTCCAAAACAAGTTGTCATGAAGACCGTTGCAATTCCTACAGGTCTCTCAGGACACGCTCAAACACTAGGAATGGTACGGTGCTCGGCACCACCCTCTGCTTCCGAGGGGTTGTTTGTGCCAGGAATTAGGAAACAATAATAAAAACAGCATCATCTTTCAATAAACTCTTTGGGGAGCTTGAGGATCCTTCCCCAGTGTCTCCGGGGATTGACTTTTGTGGCAAGAAGCTGTTCCACAGCATGTAGCTGCTGGCGAAGGTGACATGGAAACAGCAAGTGCAGGGTCATTGAGGAGCATCGTATTTCTTGATTGCAGAGAGGCCGTAGTCCGCTTGGGGTTTCTTTGTACTATGGCGAGTGGTTTGGGGTTGGCTTTTACTATTTTTTTTAACATCTGTTTTGCTTTTCTGCATGGTCACCCAGCAGTTTAGGGGCTGCTCGGAGAGAGGAAGAAAACTAACTGAAAAGGTTTTGAGAGGAACTGATTCCCTTTTATTTTCCTCTTTCCAGAAGTCTAACCTGCAGTCATGGAGATGTTCTGAGAATGTCCTAGAAAGATGTGAAGTTAAAGCTCAGCTGAGGAGGTGAGCTTTCATAGTAGCCAGGTTGTGCCTCTGTTATAGTTACTAGCCAATAATGTGGGGGATGCAGAGGGCCCACCAGAACCTGCGGGCAGTTGAGAGACCCTGACCCAATGTTGAACCAACCTCTCCTTCAGTGTTGGCCAACAAACATTCCGGTAACGGACAAACAGCTTTTTCCTTCCCCCATTTCCACGGGGAAGAGTGACCAGGCATGGAGACAGCAAGAGGATCCCCACAGGCTGTTCCCCATCGTTTTGGGTGAGCTGCAGCTCAGTCATGCCTTCCACAGCAAGAGGAGGAAACACCAAAATTGGAAGACTGTTGCATTCAGTGCTTCCTAGTTCAGCTGTTGTTCGCTTCCCTCCTTGACACATGGGATAACAGCAAATGCTGGGACACAACACAGCTCCAAGGAAGCCATTCCATCCTGCAGGAAAGTCTCATTTCTCCTGCTGGAGTTTGCAGGAGGGGTTGTAACTACCTTGTCTAAGTTCTTTTTCTCCCGAGCTCTGCAAACGCAGGAGCAGGTGCTCAAAGCTGAGAGACCACCAAAACCTGCACCTTCCTAATTCAGAACAGAGGCCACATAGTGAGGGGATGCCACTGTTCGGGACGTCTGGAAGCAGCGTTTTGCAGTCACAGCCTCCCACAGCTGAGAGCAAAACACCTCTCGCACGTTTTAAAGACCCGACGTTTCTATGAGAAGTCCTATTTCGTAACACATTCCAATGACCAATACCAGCTGGCAGAGGTTTTTAAACACTTTCCTACTGGCAGGATGTGCAGCCTGCAACATTCTGCTCGTGACTTGAAGCCATTTCTTCAAGAGGGGGGAAAACATAAACTAAACATACCTAGACAGCAATGTTTTCTATGCTAGTCGCACTTTGGAGAAACCCCATTTGCATGGAAGCTGCGAGCCAATGGCTCAGTGCACAATATGCAAAGATGTTTTCAACTACTTTGGGGCTAATTTCCTTTCCTTGTTTAGTCCCTTCCTTTCCCATGAAGGGGAATGGGTTAGATCCAGCTACTCAGGTAAAGGGAAGGTGGGATCACACACCCCACAGGAGGGGAGGGAGCTGTGCAGGCCCGAGGGGCTATCACTTCTGTATGTTCAATTGAATTGTTCTGTAAAGGATGTAAAGGCAAAATAAATTTTTTTGTTCTTTGGTTATAAAACTGCGCCCTTTCTACACAAACCTTTCTGTGAGTAGAATTATAGCATGGTTTGAGTTGGAAAGGACCTTAAGATCATCCAGTTCCAACCCTCTGCCATGGGCAGGGACCCTTACAGTAAAGAACTTCCTTATATCTAACCTGAACTTCCCCTGTTTAAACCCATTCTCCCTTGTCCTATTGCTCCCCTATGGGAACTCCCTTAAGCGACGCAAAGCTTGTTGCTCTGTCACCTTCGGGTACCAATGCAGTGTCCATCCCTTCCCATGGCTCCAGAAGAACTGAACCTCCCTAAAGGACATTTATTAAAACCACACTGCTCGGGTTGGATTTATTTAATACTCAATACAAAAAAATACGCAGCTGATTGCTAAAGTTCTACTGATGAGACAGAGGATCAGCATGATGGTCTTGAGCCTGCCACTCCCTCAGTTCTCACATACATACACATATGAAGCCGCCGTGACAGTATTTCTGCAGGTGCATCTTCCTGGAGAGAGTTTTCCACCTTCCTTTTGCTTTGCCTGCTGTGGAAGTTATTTCTCTTCCTCCTTCTCTCACCAGTGTCCTTCAACTCCACGTCAGCCAGCAAAGGATTCAGGACTCATTTTGCTTGACTTCTGAAGCCCAGCCTGAGCCCTGGGGTGGTTTTATGGGAGTACGAGGGGCCTGGAAGAGGAACTGAATTCCCCCAGTTCAAGTCTGACTGGTTATGGTGCATTGATTGAATAAAAGGAAAAACGACTTCTGTACAGGGGGAGGATGCAGCCAGGAGCTGTCAGCCGGTCCAGAGGGGGACAGGCTTCCCCCCTCTTTGTGAACAGGTCAGTGTCCCAAAGGAGAACCAAAAATAAAAACAAAGGGGAAAAGCAAAAAAATGCCCTGACCCAACAACTCAACAGTTCAATAGATCATAATCTCAAGGTCTTCCCACATGATACAAATCCAACGCAGCTTCCACAAATTAGATCTTCCCAGACAATGGTGGCAGGGCCCCCGGCATCCCCCCTGAGAGCCCCGTGTTGGGTCCCAGGAGGATCTGGAAGGAAAAGGGTCAGTTGAGGGGCTGCAAGAACACAGGACAGGGGCTGCGTGCTGCCTTCCCTCCCACAGCCTCCCAGTCGGGCACTGAGGCTGTGGCACCAGCTCCTCCCCTGCCATGAGAGCCCAGCCACACTGAATGCAAGTGGGGTGGATCTGGACATCGCTGCCTTCAGCCCATGTGCAGCCCTCACTGACTATTTTGGCCTGGTGAAAGCTAGGTTGTGTTTGCTGGAGTTTGCCATCAACTTGTTACTAGGAATCGGCAGGATCATCCCATTGGGAGCATCCAACCAAGGCACCCGGTGGGATGCAAACCGTACCACAAACCGCTCCCTAAGCTCCTTCAACAGGAGGTACCTGGGAGGAGGTGCAATGCCCTGAGCCAAACCTGCAGGGCCAGGGGAGAGGGCTGGGGTGCTCTTGCCTCACCTGTCGCTGCTGCAGCTGCTGCTGCTGCTCCATCTGCAGCTTTTCAGTTTCAAACACAACAGGAAGAACCAGAATCATGAAGGAAGTGGTCCCAATCCACAGAGCTGCCCTGGAGAATCTATGGAAGAGAAAGCACATTAGGAATAAGAACCGGTTCTTTCCCTGCTTCCCACAGGCCCCAGGCTTCCCCCTTGTACCTCCCTTTCCCCCCGTCTGTGCCTCACACAAAAGCCACCCGTGGTTCTGCCCCGAGGTGCCCCCTTTGCCCAATGCCGCCTAGAAACAACGGCCGCGGCCCCGCCACTCCACGCACCGCAGGACCCGCTCCCTCACCTGTACATCTTCTGCGCTACCGACAGCGACAGGTCGAACGTGGCTCCTGCCGCCGAGCGGACGCACTCGGGGAACATCTCCGTGAGCCCCCACAGCCGCTCCGCCAGCGTCTCGTCCAGCTGCGGGCGGCAACAACAGCGTCAGGCCCGATCCGGCCCTGCGCGACCGACGGGGTCACAGCTGCCCCGGCCCGCCCCGCCGCGCCGCCCGCTGCCCCGCTACCTCCTCGTCGTCGTCCTCCTCCTCCAGCTCGTCCTCCAGCTCTTCGGCCCTGCTCGAGCCGCCCTTGGGCAGCAGCTCCTCCGGGGACAGGGACGCCGCGGCAGCCATCACCACCAGGCACGGACGGAGGGGGCGGCGAGACAGCGGAAGCGGAAGGGCGGTCCTCCCGCGGCCCGGCCGTGAGGGAGGCAGCGGCACCTGGCGGACGGGAGGAGCCCACCCCTGTTCCCCCCCTCCCCGATTCTCCCCATCTCGTAGCTCATAGCAAACACCCGCAGACTCTGGGTTTAAATGTGTTTATGTAAACGATGCATGAGCCTCAACAGCAAGCACCCTGCAGGCTCCCAGAGGGGGCAGGTTTTGGGGAGGTCAGGGGGTGTCCTGCGTTTTTTAAGGTACCCGGAGATGGTTCTTCTTGAGGAAACGTAGTGAGGTAAAGTGCGCTGAGAAAATCTGTGTTAGCTGACAGCATCACGGTGTGACTTGTGGGGGTGCCACTCAGCTGTTATGTGGCACCCATGGCACCAGAGGCACCTCGTTACTTGCAGTCCCATGGAATGAAGCACCTACACACACAGTACCAAGGTACTGAGGAGGCACTGAAGGTCAGAGCTGGCCTCTTTGCTCCCCTGCCTATGGCAATCTCCTCTTCTTCACTTCCTCCTCTGGCTGTGGCTCTTTAGTTCCTCCAGCTCCTTCTCCATCAGGTGGGACTCGGCTGTGGTCTCGGAGAGCTGCAATGACAAGGGTGAGCTACTCCTCCGCCCTGCACCCTGCGCTACAACCAGAAGCTTTTCCCCATTCCATGGCACCACCTTCCCCCGAGGCATTACCAAGAGTAACGGTCCTGAGGCAGCACCTGAGTTTGCTCCCATTTGGGCAAGAGGGAAGAGAAAGGAAATTTCACACTTCATTGCCATTGCTGGGGAAAGCTGGAGAGCAGCTTGGGCTTCAGCTCAGCACCCCAGCCACAGAAGCTGCTTGCCAGTTTTAAAACACAGGAAGAGTGCAAGAGAGGAATGGGATGAGGAGGTATATGCTCAGAGTGACATAAAGGGTAAATCGCTTAGTGGTCTAAGCACAGGCATTCCATTTCACTGAAAGCATCTCCAGATTTTGAGCATTATCGCTAGGTAAGGTTGAATTTTGGTTTATTTAGGGCTTGCGGATTCTTTCGCCCCATGGTTTGCACACAGAAATGATGTCACGCCACTCGTCATAGCAGCTGGAAGCTTTAACCTTAACCACCAGAGAAGGTGGCTATTGCTTTGTTTCACTGTTAGGGCACAGGGCAAGAGTAACAAGAAAAATGCCGTAACACTGTGCAGGAAGGGACAACGGAGCCATGGCACTTGTAGGGGCTCCTCTTGTATCAGCCATGGTGCTCACAGCAGGGGCCAGACTTTGCTCCTGCCCTCACTTCACCATCACAGCTGTCCTGTGTAGCAGGCAAAAGCCAGAAGAGAAGGGCACAGACCCCAGTGCCTCACCATATCCAGTAGAATGTCCACTTTCAGCCGAAGAAGGTTGTTTTCTTCCTCCAGCTGCTGGTTTCGCTTGCGCAAGCGCTGCATTTCTCTGCGATCCCCTGTGAAGCTTCCTGATTCTGGAAGGAAGGAAAGAAGGAGGTTAAAATGCAGATTAAAATCATAGAATCCCAGACTGGTTTGGGTTGGAAGGGACCTTAAAGCTCATCCAGTTCCAACTCCCTGCCACGGGCAAGGACACCTTCCACTAGAGCAGGTTGCTCTAAGCCCTGTCCAGCCTGGCCTTGAACACTGCCAGGGATGGGGCAGCCACAGCTCCTCTAGACAGCCTGTGCCAGGGCCTCACCACCCTCATAGTAAAGAATTTCTTCCTTATATCTAATCTAAATTTACCCTCTTTCAGTTCAAATCCATTCCCCCTAGTCCTGTCACTCCAGGCCCTTGTAAAAAGCCCCTCTCCAGATTTCTTGTAGGCCCCTTTTAGGTATTGGAAGGCTGTTATAAGGTTTCCCTGTAGCCTGCTCTTCTCCAGGCTGAACAAACCCAGCTCTCTCAGCCTGTCCTCACAGGAGATGAGCTCCAGCTCTCTGAGCATCAAAACGCGGGGTGTCAGCCAGCCATGGCTACTCCAGATCAGAACCAGCAGAGCAGCATTCTACCTGCCACCCACTGGCCATTCTCAAACTTGAGGCTCTGGCCGGCGAGGTTCATGGTGGGCATGCTGTACTCCAGCCCCAGCTCGATCTCACGGGTCGATCTGTCCAGCTGCAAGGAGAAGATCACACTCAGCATTTTATGGAACTCCAAAGCCACCCCCTGCTCTGCCCCAGAATTTCTCAGCGGCCGGCATTCCAACAGAACCTGATGGTGCTGAAGCATGAAATCCTACTTTGCTCGTGTTCTGCCGCAGCACAGGACCAAGGCAGTCCTCTCCCTGCACATCTGCACGTTCTCCCACTCAAACACACACACACACCTCCCTGCGCTTAGAGACCATTGGTGAGAAGTTTTAGGTGAAACAGTTCTGCACTCGGATGATGATCATCTTTGCCTGCTCTAGTCATAGAACCACAGAATGGTTTGGGTTTGAAGGGATCTTAAAACTCATCCAATCCCAACCCCCTGCCATGACAGGGACACTGTGCCATTTCTACCTTCACATACTATCACCAGTGACCATAAGTGGTGCCAGGAAAGAGGCACAGCCAGGAGGTTATGGTGGCTGGGGGGCACTCACCAGATTCAGGTTGGAGAGAGAGGCAAATTTCCTTGGGGGGGTCTTCTTTGGGCTGAAGGTGTTCCCGAAGAGAGGCATCCCAGCACGGCTCCCCGAGCGGGGTGGACGTCAACAGCGCCCTGAAGACGGAGGCTGCGAGCGTCGATGTGATGAGACGGCGGTGTTGCGGTTCCCGCTGGTGGCCCCTTTCCCAGCACCTCCAACAACGTTGCCTGGTGCTCACCTACAATCAGACCCCGCACCCGTGGTCCTCACGCTGTGCGCCAGCCCTCCGAAGGGGTTAAATGGAGGCGGGGGGGGGTGGGAACCGCAGAGCGTTGAGGATGGTCCCGCTCTGTTTCCCCTCCCGGCATCTCACTGTTGAGAACAGCGGGATGAGGGAGCGCAGATGAGGAACACCCGATCACACCCCCCCCCCCCCCCCTCGCCCCGCAGTGGTAGGGTCAGCCTCGCGGTGCAGGGGCGACCGGGCCGGGCTGGGCTGTTCCATCAACCTTCGCCCGAGGGGGGGGGGGGGGGGAGGGGGGGGGGGGGGGGGGGGAAAGCACCTCTCCGCCGCGTGCTCCCGGCGCCCCGCGTCCGCGCCGCCGCGCTCAGCCGCCGTTGCTGCCGCGTGCCTCAGGAACGGTTTGCGGCCGTTACGTTGCCATGGCGACGGCGGGGTGCTCCGCCGCTCCTCCCCACGGTGCGGGGCCCGCAGGAGGAGGAAAATGGCGGCCGTGGGGGGTTCCTCACTCCGGGCCCTGAGACCCGCCTCGGAACCGCCGGGTTGCTGCTGTGGAGATGGGGCCTTCAGTGCCGTGGGTTAGCGGCGGACGTGGCAGCGCTGGGGTAACGGTTGGACTTGATGATCTTAAAGGTCTCTTCCAGCCTGGTTGATCCTATGATTCTGTATGACCGATATTTTTTATGTTGCAGAGGCAAAATCCCACTTCTTTTCTAAATTTTAAAGTCATTCCCTGTTAGAATTCAGCGGACTCAAATGACTTGCTTCATTGTTAGAAAAGCTTCTGTTAAGAAGCTTAATTTTAATGACATATTAATGTGTTGACTTTAGTTAAAAGGGGACAATAAAGGAGTGGGGGAAAGGATGGGGGGGAGAGCAAGAAGTGCCAGGAAAGGAAGGAGGAAAAAAAGGGGAGTTGCCACCTTTTTAATTTCCCTTCTACATATACTGATACTCCACAGAAAAGTTACTTAACATTTTTTCATTCGCGGTAGGGTGCTTAACTGGCACCCTTCCTGAAGTGAGCCAGAGAACTGCTCACTTGGAATGAGAACTGGAAAGATACCAGAGTGCCAACCTGGTGACTATTGACAAGAGAACAATCTGGTGCTGCAGTATCTTCTCATAGTTCAGTTAAACGATGACCTGGCAGTGTGTGTTTGCAGCCCAGAAAGCCAGCCATATGCTGGGCTGCATCAAAAGGAGCTTGGCCAGCAGACTGAGGGAGGTGAACTTCCCCTCTACTCCCATCAGACTCCACCTGCAGAACTGCGTCCAGCTCTGGGGCCACCAACACAAGAGGGACATAGACTCACTTGTGTGAGTCCAGAGAAGGCCAAGAAGGTGCTCAGAGGGGTGGAGCACCTCTCCTGTGGAGACAGGCAGAGAGAGTTGGGACTGTTCAGCCTGGAGAAGAGAAGGCTCCAGGGAGACCTCATAGCACCCTTCCAGCACCTAAAGGGGCCTACGGGAAATTTGGAGAGGGACATTTTACAAGTGCCTGTAGTGACAGGACAAGGGGGAATGGCTTTAAACTGAAAGAGGGGAGATTTAGAATAGATACAAGGAAGAGATTCTTCCCTGTGAGGGTGGTGAGGCACTGGCACAGGTTGCCCAGAGGAGCTGTGGCTGCCCCATCCCTGGCAGTGTTCAAGGCCAGGTTGGACGGGGCTTGGAGCAACCTGCTCTAGTGGAAGGTGTCCCTACCTGTGGCAGGGGGTTGGAACTGGTTGAGCTTTAGGATCCTCTCCAACCCAAACCATTTGGTGATTCTGTGATTTTATGCAAAAGCAAAGAGCTGGAAGTGAAGTGAAGGCAAGAACCTTGGAAGAAAAGCTGGGAGAATGCAGAATTACAATTTTGAGCTGAAAAAGCCTGTAGCTAAGTCAAAGACCATACTGCCCAATCAGGATAGTGAGGGACTGAACTGTTAACACTCGCATTTTTATTGCTGAATGCACTGGAAAATTCTGAGTTTCCAAACAAGTACTCAGACCTGCAGAGCTCCAGGTGAGAAAAGCATCTCCCTGAGCTGCTCAAAGACAAAGCCACATCCCATTCTTTTATGAACTTGGAGTTTGTTGTTGACGGGGGGAAGCTAGATATCAAGAAGTGCTGGTCAGGTGGTGCTCCACCAGTAACACAGGCGTAATAATGTTCACCTTTCTAGAATAAACCTGTC